TATTGTGGTGTTCATGCTTTTACTTTGTTTTTTTTCCCAATCACTACAGATATATCAACCTACCAATATTATGTACTCCAAAGTATTGTTTTCTGCCTTAAATGTCTATGAGTTTTTCTTGTCACCATGATGTTATAAAATATGTTATTTTTTAAAGATTTATTTATTTTTATACAAGAGCTGGGGTACAGGCCAGAGGCACAGGAGGTGTGAGAGGATTTACCAGAGGCAGAGCAGGGAACAGAACAGGCAGATTGACTGAAATACACTGCTGAAGGGAGCAGCATGCGAGTCAGGAGAGCTCTGCTGCGCCATGTGGGATTCTTGCAGGCTGGGATCTAACCCGCACTGCAGAGGCTGCGGATAACTTCCCAGCGTAGCGCTCAATCCGCTGCTCCCCCAGGGATGCCCTATAAAAATATGTTTAAAAACATTTTAGTCCATATCTTCATTGATTATTTTCACATTCACAACTTTTGAAGATCTCAAATATATTTTTCACGTGGTTTGCAAAGTAATTTTGTAGTTTTTCAATTGGGAATCTCAATACCACCACTAGATTTTTAAATAATTGTGATTAGTTTTGACTTCTTGAATTGGAAATTATTTTTTGAAAGTTTATTAAATGTTGGTTGCATCGTCATATCTCTCAGTGTTACTATTCATTTCTGTTTGATCAATATGTGAAACATTTCTATTAAAATTATTCAAGTGATATTGTGAATTAAGGCAATTATACTCATAGTTTTAAGAGCTTTTGCCTTAAATAATATAGTGTTTAATTGAACAGTTAAAAATTTTTCTTTTCTCCTAAATATTTTGGAAGACATTATTTACATTTATTTTGATAATGTTGATTTTTCATATTTAATATGATTTATGATGATAAGGGTGTTTACAATATGCCAGGTGTTTAAAACTCTTGATAGAGATAATAAATTAAATGTTTGATCACATTAATAAGAGACAGCAGCTGTGAAGTAGAAATTATTGTTTATATGCTATTTTATAATAAGAGAACCTAAGATAATGAAAGAACAAGAAGTTTACCTAAAAATATACAGTTCAGGGCCTCCCCGGTGGCGCAGCGGTTGAGCGCTGGGTGCGAAGCTGCCCGCGGCCTCTGCGGCGCGGTTCGATCCCGGCTGCTCCCCGCCACCGGAGGAGGGTCCCACATGGCGCGCAGACCTCTCCTGCCGCCCGCTGCTCCCCTCAGCAGTGTACTTCGGTCCTTCTGCCTGCTCTGCTCCCCACTCTGGCTCTGGTGAATTCTCTCGCCCTCCGTGCTTCTGACTGTACCCAGTGCATGAACAAAACAAACAAAACAAATAAATAAATAAATAAAACATGCCTAAAAAAAAAAAAAAAAAAAATATACAGTTCAAAGATGGTAGATTTTGGGCTCAAAGCTAGATAGCCTGGTTTTAAAGTCTGTGCATTCAAGCACCACATCCTATAACCTGTCCTAATAATAACATTTTCATTTTTGTTACTTGTCCTTTTCCTTCCTTCATTACATCCAATATCTTCCAAATATTTTTTCTACTTAAAAAGGGAGATGGGGGTGCTGAGCACAATGGACCATGGTGGAGGATTAAGGGTGATTTAGTGGTGGGAGAACTATGGTGACCACACCTGAGGGGAAAAATTCTTTTTTTTTTTTTAAATTATATTTTACAAAGACAGATTTATTAGGAAAAGGAGAAAGAAAAGGACATACCTGCGTAGTCACAATTAGTGAGGCACATTTTGCTAAGAAATTATTGTGAAAAAAATGAATAAGGATTTAAAGTAATGATAGTTCAATATTAAATACAAAATAAAATATTTCTTGTTCATTATTTTAATTTCTCAACAATTTTGCTCCTGGTTATATAGTTACTTTAATTTCAAGACTGCAAATTAAATTTTCAGAATTGCCCTTGTTTTTCAATTCCTCTTCTAATTTGTTTAATTTGAAAAATCAAACAAATTGCTAATTTCAAATCAAATTTTTGAAAGTTTCATTTTTGAGTCTGAATACATTTTTGCCTCTGTCATTGTATCTGTGTAAGAAATTTTGTTATATTTTAAGGTTTTCTGTTAAGAGCACTTTAGGTTCACAGCAAAATTGAAAGGAAGTTACCCTCTTCCCTCACTCACTCTTAGGCTACTCCCATGTCAACATGTCAACATCTCCTGTGAGTGGAGCATTTGTTACAACTGATGAACCTACATTGGCAGAACATAATCACTCAAAGTCTAGCTTTCAATTAATGTTTTCCTGGATTATTTTATTTACTCTATTTCAAGGAATAATTTACTTCTGTGTGCTGAGGTCATTGATATAATTCATCAATCTTAGCAGCTGTACAGTAGCAGATAATCATCCCAAACTTCTTGAGAAGGTCATAGAAAAGCAACTTTCCTCCTTCCAGGTGTAGGTAACTTACTCCCAGCAAAATTTTTGGCAATAAATAAATGCCTCTTGACAGCTCAACACCACCATACAAATATTTCTGTTTTATCTTAAGTGTTCAAAATTATGCTTCTTTTCTAATTGTTTTCTCATCAAAGAGTTAAGTAAGTAAAGAAAGGTATTCCAGCTGCCATTATCCCCTCCTCCAAGCCGCATATTTTGGATTAGTAATGAAATCTGTTTGTAAGGAGCACTTTTACAACCTACACTATTTTATAAACAGTGTAATTATGCAGGTAAAACAGTTTCATTTTTTGAAAGTCCTGCAGATACTTCTACTGATATATCTATAGGGTTGCTGTACTTTAATATCCATTTCATCTCCAAAATTTTTTCCCGAAATGCTGTTTTAAGATTACAGTTCTTTACTTTCTCTCTCCCTCTCTCCCCAGCTGAATCTTGGTACTCCTTACTATTTTGATTTTTGAAAGCTTCTAGGAGACACAAAATGGTGAAAAGATGAGGACCCATGCACTGGCAATCCCGTTCTGTAACCTTCCCATTATTTCTGTAATAATCTTACTTATTACACGTTTCCATTTTCAAGTTGTAACCTCTATGTTCTTTTCCTGCCCTCGGTCATATGGGAAGGGGGTCTTTTGAGTTTAGTTATTAGCAATCTAGATGATGTCAATAAGTGTCAAAATTTTTGACATTAGTATCAACTTGGAATATGGTCTGTCACTTTTGAGTATAGAATTTTTCCCTTCTATTTCATGAAATTTGGTTAGAGAATCTCATCTTAACCTTTGTATCACTTAAGAGAGTTTTGAATGTGTGTAATCTAAACCCCTACCAATAATAGCTTAACCAATAAGTATAATATGTTATATAAAGGAAGTCTGGAGACAGATGGGTATAGGTCTAGTAAATTTGGGGCTAAAACAATGTCACCCATACTCAGGAGCTTCCCCATCTTTCTATCCTGTCATCCATAGAATGCTAAATTTATTTCTAAAGCTTGCCTCACAAATGTCATTTTTACCAGCACATGGTAGGGAAGTTCTTCCTTAGCTATCTTTTTTCCCACTGAGGAAAAAAAATTCACAAAATATACAGAAAGCAAAGGCTTCCATTTCTGTCTGTTGGTAGAATAGGTCATGTATCAATGCTATGATCGAAATGTTTGTACCCCCTCAAAATGCATCTTTTGAAATCCTGAAATTTAAAGTGATGGTACTAGAAAGTGGGACCTTTAGAATTAGGTTATGATGGCTGAGTCCACTGAATGATATTTGTGCCATTATATTCGAGACTCCAGAGAAATACATTGCCCCCTTTCACTATGTGAAGATACAGTGAGAAGTACACAGCTCTGAATACCACTTTCACCTGACCATTTTGGCAATACTGATCTTTGATTTCCATCTTCCAGAAATATGGGCAATGTGTTTCTGCTGTTTATAAGCCGCTTAATGTGTGATATTATAACAGCCCAATTGAACTAAGACAGGTCACCTTTCAATTCAAAGTTAACAGAGACAAATATGATCATCACTATTATCTCATCACTATTATCTTAGAGCAATCAAGATTCAGTCTCAATGACTTAGTCCTGGTCTCTGACACTCTGCAATCTGATGCCTGAACAAAGTAAGACTTCTGTTACAAATAAGACAAAAGTGAAGAAATGCTATTGAGTAAATGAGTATGATTCTGGGCGCAAAAATTCTCAGGGGTTAGACATTATGCAAGAAATTTTGGTTATTCTGCAGATCAGCAAAGATCTCTATAAAAACAAGATCCTCAAGATCATTACTATAATTTCAGTTTTCAAGCTATTGTGCTACTGTTATCCTAATATTTTGAGTGATAAACATGGCTTGTACTTTTGTAATGCTACATGGCTGGTGCTTTTGTAATTTGACATTAGAGATTGGATCAACTTTATCTTTCTATATCAGGTAGCATTTATTCTTTTCAAATGCTGTTTTACTACTCAGTGGCAGATGGCTGTATATATGTTCCATTACAGTATTTTTAAAATTACGACCTTTATTATTTTTAGGACTACCACAGGCAATCAGAAATTTGGGGTAGATTACTGTTCTCCACCTAACTGACCCATAGGCCGTTAAGAAGACAACTCAAATTAAGAACTTCTTTGTATTTACCTTTTTAAAATAGTACACTTCTGAATCACATTTCTTTGAAGAAAGTATTTTTAAGTAGTAGGGAAGGTGTATTTGAAGAATATCATAGTGGAATCCATATTGATTGCAATACCTGATGTACAGATTTATGTATTTCCACATAAGCATATAATAATGTATTTTTTGATGGAACAGCAAAAACATGAATATATTTAAGTTAGGTTGTCCATTCTGATATTTTGTTCTACATTTACAGTGTAGTGCTAGGAGCAGCCTTGGGCAGAAGTATGGCCTCAATGGCAGATTGTCTAGATCCCCTTTTTTTGAACACTTGGAGCGTGAGCTAGAGTTATCCCTTTTGCATTCTCTCCAGAACTGCTATCACCATCACTAGTATTTTATGTTGATGAATGTTAAAGAAGTTTAAGTTGCTTTTGCTATTTTTACAGCTTACACGGTGGAGTACTTTTGGAACCCTTGAAGATACACCTCAGACAGAATCAGAAGCAAGGAAATACTCAGTGGTTGCAGAAGAAGATTGTGAAATTCTTAGAATTTCTGCAAAGGAATTGGCAAAGTTAAAATTGGTATAACCATATCTAGTCTATATAGTAATAGAATATGAGTATAAATTCAATGTTTTGCCTCCCTAGACAGAATATCTCCTTTGGTTTTTAATTTACTTAACCTGGATACCAAAAAAATGTGATTAATGTGGTCAACATCACATAAGCCTTTGATGGTAATAGATGTTGAAATAGAAAGAAAGGTCTCTATGGATATATTTCATGTAAAGTTTTGAGTGCTTTTGTTTTTTCCTATAAATTGAAAATTCTTTTGTTCAACAAATATATGTTTTGGATGTCAACAGCATGTTATGTGTTAGAGATACCAGAATTATGAGACAGATGGAGTTCTATAGTCTTCCTAAAGGAAAAAAAATACTTGGAAGTGATTAGCATGATATTTCATAGTTATAACAGAAATCACAACCCAGAGCTGCATGAATAGGAGTTGATCACAATTTAATTCTGAGCTCTCATTTCTGCTGCGTTAAGATAATTCATTGCTTTCAAGTTTAACGATTTCTTTTGCTTTTTTTTTTAAAGATTGATTTATTTATTTATACAAGCACTGGGTACAGTCAGAAGCGTGGGAGGGTGAGAGAATTCACCAGAGCCAGACTGGGGAACAGAACATACAGACTGATGAAATACACTGCTGAGGGGAGCAGCGGGCGTGGCATGAGAGGTCTGCGTGCCATGTGGGACCCTCACCGGCAGCCGGGGATCAAACCGGCGCTGCAGAGGCTGCAGGCAGCTTCGCAGCCCAGCGCTCAATTGCTGCACAACCAGGGGAGGCCTGATTTCTTTTGCTTTAATCAAATCCAAGTTTTCCTCTCTATCCTATTTCTCTTCCCTTGAGTGTCAGAGAAGTTTGTACAAATGACAGGACTGGTAGTTTCTCATGTCCCTGTAGTACCGGCTCCCCTTGATAGGGCCTAGCCCTGGTACAGGTGCTACAGGACACTGGCATGGTTGGTGCCCTTGTTTAGGGTTAGGTGGTGGAGTTTATGTTGGAGGGAGATAAGGAAACATCTTGATTTAGGTTTCTAGTAGTCGGGGTTTCTTTTGATGCAGGGATCTCAGTGTCACTGGTGCAAATGGTTTTTTTTTCAGAATTCAGCTTAATCCAAATTCCTGGCCTTAGCAAGATTGACTTAAAATTATTTTGCATACTTTGTCATCTTTTCAAAGTATTAGTGTCACTTATTTGATATCATCAAATAGAACTTCTGAATTTAACCTTGATTATGACAGGGATTTTCAAAAATGCTAAAAGCTTAAAATTATTATGAGAAGTGGGAAATATATTTATAGTAGATCTGCAGATTAAAATTTCATAATAATTGCATGGTAATAGGATGATGTCCCTATAAATTCAAGTGTATTTTATGCCAATTTGTATTAATATAACCTTTTTGTTTTCTTTTTTGCCATTTATCTATTTATCATTCTCCCTTCTTTTTAAATTGCCTAATATGAAAAATTTGATGACTTTTTCAGGAAAAGAAAAAACTTGAGAATAAAGAAAAAGTGAAATTAATTCGTAGCTGTCCATATTATGAGGAGTGGCCCACTTTATCCATATATGAGCTAATTGCACTCATTAAATGGAAAAAATTTCCTCCGGGTCATGGTGAGTTTAATGCATTGGGATTATTTTATTTACAAACCATTATTGAAATTTTTCATAGTTTTTAATAATTTTAGGTGAGTTTTACTAATTTATTTAATGTTGCCTATAATTGGACCTTTAATTTAGAGTGTTGCCTTTTTTATTCAAAGTCATTCTGTATTGGCTTGAAAAGTGAGCTCAAAACTGGCCTTATTTCCACATTCCTTTATATCTCCCCACTGTTCAACCCTTCTTGCCCCACCCTCAGTCAATGAAAAGACCAAACTAAAAAGTACAGTGAGAGAATATAGTTGTTTTTTTTCTAGTTCTCCTGGTTAAACATCTACATAAGCATTAAGTTTGCATATCTGCACCTGTTGTACACATTATCAGTGGAAAATATATTTATGGAGAATCATTGAGGTTGAGATAAGAGGTAGCAGTAATAAAGCTGCTTGCATTTCCACAGTTGAGCAATGATGCCTGGATTTCTTAGGTTATATTAATGCAAAGAGTGTAGATGCATACATCACCTTGTATAATATATTCCATGTGTGAGAGCCCACTAAATAAGATATGTTAACTGTTATGGACTGAATGTTGGTGTTCCATAGAGTTCATATGTTGAAGCCCAATCCCAAACATGTATTATTTAGAAGTGGATGTGTTGGGAGGTACTGAACTCAGGAGGGTTGAGCCTTCATGAATAGATTTAATGCCCTTATAAATAGAAATATGAGAGATGATATCTATCTCTTTGTGAGATGAGAATGCAGTAGGAAGGCAGATGTCTGCAAGCAAGAAGAGGGCTCTCATCAGACATTGTATCTGCTGCCACCTTGATGTTGGACTTTCCACCATCCAAAGCTATAAGAAATTAATGCTTGCTGTTTATGCACCCAGTCTATGATATTTGGTTTAACAGCCAATTATATCAATGCCAGGGGAGCTGAGGCATTTGGAGCAGAGTTTTAGATCTTCTTCATGAGGAATCACTATTGTCTCAAAACCACAAAGAATAGAGACCTTCATCACTCTCCCAGTCAACTGGTAAAAGATCTAGTACTAGATGATAATGAAAGAGGATACAGTTTGAAAGAAATACTTCCACCTCAAATTTACAGAACTATGCTTGTAGTGAAGGATACGAGGCGGGGAGGAGACCATGTCTGAATTAAGTTTGAAACTAAAGTTCTAAAATGAATGAGTGTGAGTTGTAAATTCCATAATGCAACTGTTCCAATAGTAAAAATAAATGTTAGAGAAGTTATACTGTGGCTAAGATATCCTTTGAGTGAGTCATGTAATAGGAAAATGAGGCTTGGCTTAGCACCTTAGAGAGGTTCTTTTATTGGAAAAAAATAAATGTCATTAGAGATAAATTTATACTGAAAAATTGAGGTCACTTAATAAGCTTATTAAATTGATGATATTATTATAAACCCTTTCCTGAATTTGTTTCAAATATATTTCTAGTGTTTGTTTTATTTATCATTTTTTGAAATACAGTGCTTAGCACATTTAGCCAAATACATATTTTTCTCTTGCTTATAAAAAATGAATATTAGCCATGCTGCGTAGTTGTTCCTGAACTTTTCCCCTCATGAGGTACAAATGTCAATTTTTGGCCAACTGTGTACATAGGAGGTAAGTAATAAACTGACTTGTAAAAATTTGGAAATTGAGATTTTTAAATTCAGCATTTTCATTGTATAGAAACTTTTTAAAAAATGTGCATGCTTTGGATTTATCCTGGGTTTACTTTTTGTATTAAAAATATCAAATCTTGGTCTATGACTCATGTCCAGGGGGCTATTTTGTGTAAAAGGGGATCTCAGCCTTGTCAATCTATCAGGACACTGATATTTTTGAGATGATTAAAACATAGGAAATAAATCATAAAGATATTTTCAAGTGTGTGAGCCAAAAGAAAGTGGAATTTGAGGAAAAGGAGTAATTTCTACTCTTGCCACAGTGTGTTGCTCACTGATGCCCTTGACTTCATTGCCCTCACATCCCATTAGGGACACCACCTCCTGTTGGCCACTACTACCCAGGCTGTGCCAGCCCACAACCAGCAGTCCTAGGTTTTCTACAACCAGATCTTCATGGATAATGAATGGCATAACACTTTCATCAAGAAATGTTCCCTATAGTCAGACTATCCACTGGGGAAGTCATCTGTCAGATCGCTGAAGGGGACAGGGCAGTGAAGGCTGCTGGAGTTGCCTTTCTGCTGGGCTTACCCCGGCACCGCATGGGTATGTCAGAGAGCTGACTGCTGAAACAACTGACCGATCTGATTGAGCAGGACCTGGCAGGCCTAGAGACTGGAAATCTGCAAGCCCTAATCATCTCCTACATGGGAATATTTGGACCACGGTCCTCAAATATCTCTGGTATTATGCTGGCTGGGCTAATAATACCATGGGAAAAATACCCACTGACGGGGACGTCTTCAGTTACAGCTCCAGGAGCCTGTAGAGGTGTGTGGGCAGATCATTCCATGGAACTTCCTGCTCCTGAAGCGGCCATGGAAACTGGGTCCTTGGGGAACTGGTACTTGGTTGCAGTATAGGTGGCTGGGCAGGCTCCACTCACCTCCCTTTATGTGGCCAACTTGGCTATGGAGGCTGGCTTCCCCCCAACCTGGTCAATACTATACCTGAATTTGGCCCCAAGGCTGGGGCTGTCATCGCCTCCTACAGGGATGTGAATAAAGGGACTTCACAGCTCATGAGACTGGCCACCTAATTCAAGTAGCTACTGGGAGCAGTAACCTCAAGAGAGTGACCCTGGAGCTGGGGTAAACAGGCCCTGACATCATCATTCAATTGCTGACTTAGACTGGGCCATGGTGCAATCCCACTTTTCCCTGTTCTTCCACCAAGGCCAGTGCTGCTGTGCAGGTTCCTGAGTAGACATATGTATTACAAAAAGTTTGTGGAGTTGAGCATCCTCCAGTCATGTCTCGGGTGGTTCAGAACCCCTTTGACAGCTGGACTGAGCAGGGGCCGCAGGTAGACAAAACTCAATTTGAAAGGTCTGGCTATATCAAACCTAGGGTGGAGGAGGCTGCAAGCTGCTGTCATGGCTACTTCATCCAGCCAACTGTGTTTGGAGATGCACGGGATGGCATGACCATCACAAAGGAGATCTTTGTTTTGAAGTTTAAGACCATTGAGGAAGTTGTTAGGAAAGTCAACGATTCCAAGTTCTGGCTGGTTGCATCTGTCTTCAAGAAGGACTTGGCCAAGGCCAGCGATCTGTCCCTGGCCCTCCAGGCTGGCACCTTGTGAGTCAACTGCTATGAAGTGCTTGGGGGCCCTGTTTGCCATCTGATGCTACAAGATGTCTGGGAATGGCGGGCTGGGAGAATATGGAGGCCTGCAGGTGTACACAGAAGTGAAAACCATCACCATCAAAGTCACTCAGAAGAACTCATAAAGATCCATAGAGCTTTCCTACTCATCTAATGGCAAAAAGGACAAAGAGATCAGCAGCAAAACCAAGAAAAATGATGCTTGCATGCTGAAAGTCTCATAAGAGAAATTCTCCCTCAGATTCTCTTGGATCAAGAAAGCCCCGCATTTGAATTGATAAGTGGGACAGATATGGAGAAAACAGTATATGGAAAGTCTTTGAACAGAAACAATGATATTAGCTTTGGGTGGTGGGGGAAGGGGCAGTTTCAAAGGTAGATTTAAATGTCTCATCTTGTCTACTTGACACATTTATTATAACTTTCCTTTAAGAGGGAAAAAAAAGCTATTGTTTACAGCTGTACTAACCTCCGGGCAATAACTATAGCCTTGCACTGTATTCTGGACTAAAACTCATTATAAATGATGCTGCTCTTCAAAAAAATAAATAAATTTAGCATCAAGAAGTTAGGATGTTACTAATTTAATACACAGTTTCCTAGACTATGCTGATTTCTAATTCTTTATTGGTAAATGTCTTGAATAATGATGGTGGTGACTATTGCATTGGATAGTCTGTGATTATACTGAATAAGTCAGATTGTTTTTCAATGATTCCAAAACATATAAATATACAGTACTTACACTTACACAGTTTTAAAAAGTCATTTGTCCTCCTTAGAGAAGAGTGATGATTTCACTAGATGATCTTCAAAGCTCTTTTCAGGTCTGAAATACTATGATTCTTATAAATAAACATACCTACTTGAAGAATAAGTCCTGTCAACCAAATCTAATTTCTTTTATGCTAGTGACAAACTTGATATATCAAGGAGAAGGATTAGATATAATACTTCTTGACATTACACAGATTTATTTAAATTTTTATTAGAAAATGTAGAGAATGTAGCTCAAATGGTACTTTCATTATCTAAGTTTAAAACTGTCAGTAGTATGATTTCCAAAGCATAATTATATGTGTTTTGATCTCATCTTAGGAACATGTATTGGATGATATTTCAAAGAGATTTGATTAATTATTCAAACACTTGATAGAATATAGGATTAATCTTTGGCAGTATATGAAATAAAGTTTCATATTGTTTGAAATTTGTTTGAATTTGTTTGAATTTGTAGCATACAAACTAAAGTCCCCCCGCAGGTGTCATTCTTTCAAGAAGTGACTGGCTGGAAAATGGCAACCAGCTAGTGTTGGTTAGTGTTGCCAACCAAGGGTTGATCTCACTAATCAACCTGTTTCCAGGTGTATCATGTGTATAAGAAGAATGATAAATTCACTTGGCATCTGTGACCTATTTTTATATATGTTATTGTTATCCTGTTTGTGGCAGTATACTCCACTTCTCCTGGTAGGATTAATAAAGCAAACATAGAGACTATCTGTAGAAAGACTAACTAGAGACTAGAGAGAGTCACACACACGCACAAACACACACACAGAACAATCAATTTAGTAGTGAAAAATAAAATATGCAAATATAATAATGGTAAAAAGATTTCTAGTAATATCAAATCCAAACTAGACAGTTTCCACTCAGAATATATACTTTGAAACTACCTAATGAAAGCTTGAAGTTC